TTACGACCAGGTTAGACGGCACCGCAGGAGACAAAGATCCGATACGATTTCTGTTACTTGCCACAATGTATTTATACATTTTTAATGGCTTATAATCCCACGTCTTCTCTGCACCTCTCACTTACTCGATAAAAAATCATACTTTTGTATTGATTGATATATAAAATTTATGTATCCATTACTGCCATTGCAGGTCTTTCTAAACATGGCCTACTTGGTGGCCAAGATTTTATCGAATCTTCTTACAATGTCTGTAATTGGTGTTCAAGCTCTGGTAAACTAGGATTTTGATTGGTTGATTTTTTCTTTAGCGGCATATCAACATCTCTATGGGTTATTTAATGCCGAAATCTAAATATTTTGAATGCAATTATGTTTTCAACTACAGATAAAATGTATTGCTAGTCATGTTATTATAAATACGTCTTGGTATTTTTTTTATATAAAAATGTATGGCTCGTATTTTTTACTATAGAAATGTATTTTTGTACTTTTATAGTGTTTTGTTTTTGTTTGGATGTTCACTATTTGCCCATAGATGGGACCCTAACACGTGCTACTACCTCGGGTCAGGGTGGACCTGGGAACAGCAGCAATTAAGAGATGGTTCCACGCGCCTTAAAAACTCCAGTCTCCCGATCAGAGACCTTGCTGCCGGATGTAGTTTATCGTCATATCGAGGAATAAAACTAGGATTTGAAAATGCAGATTTTCAAAGCAAACATGCCCGTATACCAAGACTTTCAGACCCGTAACTTAAAAGAAATTACTATATCTTTTCAGGATATACGCGATCATGGCTCTCTACAGATTTCTTTTCTTCGTTATTTGAGTGTATGCTAGGGCCACACATATTGAAACACTGATTTTCATTCTATCAACGAAGTCAAGCAACGTTGAGCCTTGTCATTATACAGATAGGCGACCCCTAGGGAAGAACTTGTGATAGAAGATTATTTTAATAATTCAACAACAGAAGTTAGAGTTTTACAATTTTTCCTGGGGTACCTGGAAAAAGAAGAAATATCTTGTTTTCTCCACTCTTCAAGGTTCACATTAGGCATTAGTATATCCGTGATATCAGGTGCTGTAAACTTCGTCACAGTTCGAGCAAGCTAGGGGATGAATACCAATCTCGCTATTAATCCTAAAAGAAGACCTCAATATGTGGAGGTGCTTCTGGACTGACAGATCGCATGACCTACTTGTGGTAGGGGGGTGTTATATGTGAATTGCCTTAACTTATTGGGAAACATCGTGGAGTGGTTTCCAGTTGCCTTATCTACGACTTTGGATTTAGAGTTGTCCATTGTTTAGATTGATTGTTTGTTTTGTTTTATTTTGTTTTACGGCCTATCAACCACAATGCGTTATTTAATGCCGACAAAATTTCCTTTTTTTTTAAAAATGTATAGCTGGTAATTTTTTCAGAAATGTTTAGCTGGTAATATTTTTTTCAAAAATGTATAGTTTGGTTTGTTTTGTGGTACATTAACCTTCATGGGTTATTTAATGCTGACAAGATTTTTATTTCTGGTAATATTTTCTTTTTTCAAATATTTATTGCTGTTACTAATTTTTAAAAAGTATTTCTGGTATTAAAATCTATTTTTACCCTTTCACAGTGTTTCGAGTCAGGTTGTGGGGGTCAGCTATTTGCCCATAGCTGGTACCCTAACAGGTGTTACCACCTCGGGTCAGGGTGAACCTGGAACACCAGCAGTTAAGAGGTGGTTCCACGCTCCTCAAAGCCTCCTTATCAGAGGCCTTGCTGTTTATTGTCATATCCAGGACGGCTAGACTGGTTGTCACATCAAGGCTATTTAACTCGTAACTAGGTGTGGGCTTAGAAGAAATAGATTCATGCCTTCTCCAAGGGTATTAGTGAGAAGTGAACGCAACAGATTTGGCTGGAACGTGAACTCGGCTCCGCTGATTTAATTTTCTACGCCGATTACCGTTACGTTACCGCAAGTTTTCTCTAAGCAATTGTAATTGTTATTGGATTTGTTTTAGAAGCTATGGTAGAAAATAGACAAAAAAATGATGTTTTTCTATGAGATATAGCGTTACTTTCTGTATTCAACAAAAGCAACGGATAAAATCACTTTTTGTTTTGGGTCCAGCCGTGTGAGCGTTTGATGACAGAAAGGGAATAGACAATTGGAGAAAGGTAAAAGAGTTTCAATTCATTATATGAAGACAGAATCATAGTTGTCGGCGCGGATTATGGAATCGACGTGAGGAATCTGTTGTGTTCTCTTTGCGCTAGTTCCTTGAGAAAGGCATGAACACATCTCTTCTTGCTTCTCAGTTATAAAAGACTGACGGGGTTTGCCGGTCTTCGGGGACAGAGAGTCGAGGAGATGGACAAGTCTGAATTAAAAAGAAAAACCATAGAGAAGGGATAGAGAGACCATTCTACTATCATTACCAAGAAGTCATGGCATTTCACAGATAAAAGGAGTCTGTATATCGCTCACGTCCTGTAAGGGCACAACATTTAAAACAATAAATAAGATACAAACGATAATTTTACTTAATCAGTGAGCGTTAAATTATTGGTATTAAATTATTGGTATGGTCCAATGAGAAATAGTTTTTTTGGTGGATATAATTAAATTTTAGCATGTTAGATAAGAAAAAAAATTATCCCAAAAGAACTTTATCCAACAAACATTTTTTGGCAAACATGAACAAACATGTCCACAATAAAACGTAGTGTCAAAAAGGACGGTTTTTCCCATGACACCGCTTTTTTTAAAAATACCTTCACTCTTCAGCAATGTTTATTGTTTTAAACAGCAATAATTAAAATTGTAATAAAACCGAAAAACATGATGAAAGTGAATTTATACATTTTCTTTACAACAAAAACATTAAACACTATTTATTAGAGTGTTTATTTACAAGAATAATTTTATATTTACAATTTTTTAAAAAGTAAAAACTAATACAAATATCACCGAAGATAAGCAACGTCGGGCCTGGTCAGTACCCAGATGAGTGACTGGTTGAGTTTTCCAGGTGCTGTAAGCTTGGATGTGAGGGTGGTATAATGGATAACTGCTTAGAATTAGAAATCGAAGTGCGGAGTTTCAATTCCAGTCAGGTTCTTTATATTCACTTAAGCGCAAATAATCGTGGGAAAAGGTATTTATTCCCCTATTCTGTCACCGTCTATGGGTTCATTAGCAGGCCTTGCATCAGAAAATCATTATTATCTCCCTCAAAATTCTTACAACTTAAAAATATTCTTTGGCTTTAAATAACCTGTAAAAGGTTGATAAACCACAAAAAACAAATCAGTCGAACAATCAGTTCTCTTGCAATTGCTCTTTCATGAGGGATCTCTTTCCTGGACGATATGCTTTCAACGCTCCTCTTTTAAGAATTTTTCCCGCCATTCGCTGAGAAACTTTTTCACCTATAGCTGCCTTTTCTATTTCACTTAATTTTGTTTTTGTTCACTCTAAGTTTATTTTGTGCAATTCTCGATTTCTTGCGTCCTCCTTGTTCTGAAAATATTCGTTTACGGCTTCTTCTGCATTTGTTAACTACGTTACTAGTCTTTAAACCTGTTATAATAATATCACGTACCGTTGACTTAGGAAGATGATACTTACTGGCAATCACGTCGTACCTTTAACAATTATTATGCCACTTCACAACTTCATTCCAAAGGCTACACTATGTTCTTTTGTCGTTGGCATGGTGACAATTGTTGCATGCCTAAGATACAAATCTGGATTGTTGGTAAATTTTTGTTCTTCCACGTCAGTGTTTTGTGTAGATTTTTCGCGAATTGAATCTTCTAGATGTATATTAATGAGTTTTTAATAAATACATATAGTTTCATGTTTTAAAATTAGAATTTTGCAATTGTGCTAATAATGTCACTAAAGTTTTTGTGGTTGGATTATTTGGGATATATTTAAATAATTTTCAAAACTTTTTTGTCGTATCCAATACATAAGAAGTAAATTTATCAAAATATCACATTTTTCCTTTGAGTTACCATGTTAAAACTTAATTATACCCATCAAAAAACTACTTTTTATTGAACCATACCAATAATTTTGAAAATCTCTATAGGTACGTACTCAAATAAGTCCGTAAGAATGGTCTGTTTGTTAGCGAAGACAAAAAGTTGATAATGTAACCGATACAGTTGCAGGGATGTAGAAGGCGATTATCTTCCTTTTTATAGGATAGATTTACCGATGTCATAAGGGGGGTGAGGGTCACGTGACAGTCTGTTGGCGAGGATAGTTCAGTTGCTATTTAGAGCTCGATGGAGACAGTTGTCATAGCCGGCCCAGAATAGGAGCATAAAATATATCACCAGGTCTGGTCGTGCCCCTCTTACGGGCGTTAAAAGCAAGACATTCTATTTATTCGTCCATTCTCAAACTATTTATTTTTTTCATATGTGCTTCTAGTTTCTTTGTGTGACAAACAAACTGAATATATATATAATATATATATATATATATATATATATATATATATATATATATATATTCTAGTGTTGTGTATAATGTTTTTAGATATGTTTCATTTTTGGAATTACTTTCTTTGAGTTATTATAGTCCTTCATTCTGTTGTGTTAAATTGTTAGGATATCTTGGATATACTAATGCCTAACGTGAACCTTGGAGAGTGAAGAAACAAAGGTATTTCTTCTTTTTCCAGGTATTACAGGAAAAATTGCAAAGTTCTAACTTCTGTTGTTAAATTATTAAACTAATCTTCTATCACAAGTTATTCGATTTCTTAGATTAATTATTTTCTTAGTCAATTCCGGTCCTTTGTCTTTATTGCAGCTTTATAGATCGAATATTCTTCGATTGAAAACGTAAGTAACGTAAAGTATAAACAAAAAAGTAACAAACGACAATACTTGCACTCTCATCCTATATGCCGAAAATCCACCTTTCATGGACAACGCTTTAATCAGTTCAGTCATAGAAACCTCATGCGAGGATAGTATAAAATTCCATATCACGTTGAAAAACACCGGTTCTCGTACGATCACTGAAGTTAAGCAATATCGATCCTGGTCATTACCTAAATGGGTGACCGCTTGAGAATAACTGGTATTATAATTTTGGATGTACGAGGAGTGTCATGGATAACGCCTTGGAATTGGAAATCTGAGAACTGAGTTCCAATTCCAGTCGGGTTCGTTATAAACATCCTTGGAAGCTGTATGGAACCACCTCTTCTCTTTCCAAATAGTGGGACTTGTATCAGTAAATCATTATTATCTCCTCAAAATTCTTAGGAATTTTCTGCCTTTAAATAACCTGTAAAAGATTGGTAAGCCAAAAGAAACAAAATCATAAAAAAAACCTCATCGCTTATATTTATTTGCCATAAGTAGATCAGGGTTTTTTAACTTTAAAGCAAAAAGGGCCGTTGTAGAATACGGGAAGGGTGTGTTGAGGTTGAGGGAAACACCAAATCAATTTCCTTCCCAAGAACTGCGAGGTAACAGGCAGAGAAATCCCGACTTCACAAGACGCCAAACCTGGCCAAGCCTGGCCAACTGCCCACTTTTGACTGCTGGTTTTCTCGTCGCTTTTATCGACTGGAGGTTTTGAGGAGCGTGGAACCTGTTAGGGTCCTAGCTATGAGCAAATAATTCCCCCCCCAAAAGAAATGGGGCCCAAAAACTATAAAAGTGTAAAAATAGGTTTTAATGCCAGCAATACATTTTTGTAAAAAATATTACCAGCAATGAAATTTTGAAGAAAAAATTATTACCAACAGTACGTTTTGGAAAATATTACCAGCAATATATTTAAAAAAAAAATATTACCAGCAATACATTTTTTGAAAAAAATATTACCAGCAATAAAAACCTTGCCGTCATTAACTAACCCATTGGGGTTGATATATCGTAAAACAAACCAAACCAAATGCCGACAAAATTTGTAACTAAATAACAGCATAATAAATAATAATAATAAATATTATAATTCTGCTTGTCACCCTCTTTTCGTCAGTTAGTTAGTTCCTTAGTTCGCACGACCGTTACGCCCTGCCAATACCTCATAAATAATAGGCTATTCCCATTTGACCACGTGAAGAACGGAACTGATATATCAGAGACGCTACTTGGTTTTATTGAAAAGAAAGAAAGAAAGAAAGAAAGAAAGAAAGGGGGGACGATAGAAGTTTTTAACTGATGTTTCACTGAGATGAAAAAAGTTGTCAATTTCAAATCTTTTTATTTGTACTCCTTTACTTATAAATAAATTTATTAATAAAATATTTTTTGCAAGACAGATTTTCAGTTTGGTTTGGTTTGATTTGTTTTACGGCATATCAACCTCAACTAGTTATTTAATGCCGACAATTTTTTTTTTTTCCTGGTAATATATTTTTCAAAATGTATTGCTGGTATTTCCCCGCAAAATGTATTGCTGGTAATATTTAATTTCCTCAAAAATTTATTGCTGGTGATAATATTTTCTAAAAATGTATTGATGGTATTAAAACCTATTTTTACACTTTCATAGTATTTTGACCCCAATTTGGGGGATAAATATTTGCCCATAGCTGGAACCCTAGCTGGTGCTACCACCCCGGGTCAGGGTGGACCTGGGAACACCAGCAATTAAGTGGAGGTTCCATGCTCCTCAAAACCCCCTTGCTGTTGGATATAGTTTATCGTCTTACCCAGGACCCGGATGTAGTTTATCGTCTTACATAGGACGCACAGATTTTCGGTTAGTAAAGAATAAATGTAATAGAATAGAATACAGGGTGTCCCCAAAAATATATCTACATATTATGTTTGTTAACCCTTACCTGAAAATTAATTATTCACTTTTTCTTGATAAAAAAATAAAATTAATTAATAAATATAAATTAATTGCTCACTAATAATTTTTACAGTTTTTCACAACCTATTTTTTTAAATTTTTTTTATTTTTTTAAGCGTTTCACCCCAAGCAAGGCGAGAAGCCACTAGGACGCAAGGGGTTACAGAAAATTTGGAGAAGATCTGATAGGAGTGATAGAGGAAAGGACGAGGAGACGGGTAGTGGATAGATCAAGGCAACTGGAGATGTCGATTGACATTACATTTGAATAGCTGGGGATTATAGCTCTCAGGGAAACTGGAATAGGGAAGGGAGTTCCACAGGCGAGAGATGCGAGATATGAAGCTATTGGAGTAGAAGAGACGGCTACGTTTAGGAGTTTCGACAGTGAAAGGGTGAGAGCGGGATGCCAGCCTCGTAGGGCGCTTGAATTCATGAAGTCTGGGAACCAGAGAATGTAGCTCCTCGGAGCAATTGCTATGAAAGTATTAGCTTAGAAGTTCGTAATATTATTTTTTCAAGTTGTGAAATCTTTAAATAAAGATGAATTTAAACATAAAAATCAAATGTTTTTTCTTTTCAAACATTATTAGAATAACATAAAGAAAAATACATGATTAACTTTCAAGCAGCAACCAGAGCTAATTATAAAGTATTTATACATACCTGGGGGCGGGGCAACATATTCGGGAGTGGATCAATAAGTTCGTAGTCTGACACAGTTATTAGTTGATATTTGATATTTGATATGAAATCGGTATAATGTTTCATCTAAGTGAATACTCTTAAGTCCGGAATACTCTTAAGTCCGGAATGCTCTTAAGTCCGGAATGCTCTTAAGTTCGAGTAGTTTGGAATGAAAGAGTATCCTGGAAAATTTATTCAAAATGATTTTTTCGGAATAAAAAAAAAAAAAAAATTGAAGGAAGAGGATCTGTCTATATTTCTCAAGGACACATGGCACAGTGGATAAAGGCGTTGGTTAGATCCAGTGACAGGACCCAAAGAGTGTGAGTTCAATACCCGGTTAAGGCAGTGGAGAACTTGGAGAGGGGAATTAAGAGGAGATAACTGATAACTGACATCCATTAAACATGCCACGTGGAACTAGAACAGTCTACTCCACTGAGCGAAATAAAGGGTTCAGTTCGACATTCCAACCACCTGAAGAAGGCCGGAGCGTACAACGGCCGAAACGTTGTAATAAATATGGCGACAAAGATGAGGACAATAGTCCGAATAATGTAAGTAGTGTACATAATATCTCATCTCAGAAATATAGACAGATGTTCAGTACGACATTCCAACCACCGGAAGAAGGCCGGAGCGTATAACGGCCGAAACGTTGTAATAAATATGGCGACAAAGATGAGGACAATAGTCTGAATAATGTAAATAGAGGGAGAGGATGTTGGAATAAACGGACAGATTGGAAAAAGTGAAAAATAAAATAAACGGGGGGTCTGGAATAAGATTGGCTAGGTTGAAAAAAATTAAATAGTCTATTACAGACGCGAGAATATTGCAGAAGCATTAAGTGCACGAAAAATGAAGGATGTCATGTAGAAAAATAAAAGAAATCTATATTTGTTTTATAACATAAATACTTTTTAGAGCATTAGGCGAGGAAATACTATTGAATCAACGTACATGTCTGCTCGTGCGAGCACAGACACACACAAACACTCACGCTCGCGTACTCCACACACGCGTTATTTAAACACATGCAGAAATAAAGTTGTTTTAATTAGCTTAATTAATGATGGGCGGACCTACAGATGTTAGTATGAATGATGAACATTTTGAACTTTTCCAATAAAGCAAAATTTTAAAACATAAATGTCGAATGTTTCTTTCTGAACTTTATTATGGAATTATTTTTTATATTTCGAAAGCGTTAATTAACTTTCATGTTTTAATGAAAGCTGCTGTTAACGAGAAAAAAAGTGTTAGTAAATTTTGTATTTGTCAGAGAAGACGTATCATATTTACTGAGTTCAGCATAGTCACAAACAAACTAAAGGTAAGATTGTGCAGTACCAAGGTTTTAAATGGGGGAGAGTTTACGTGTATTTGGCTTTCTTTCTAATTAATATGCACTTCGCTTGGCTGGTTGTGTGAGCCTCAATGGACAATTACCGAAGCCCTTGTCAGTAGAGAAGACAATTCTGGATTAGTCATGTAGTTTAAATGAGTCTCTATTACTACGACATCACTTGTACAAATCAAGATACCGCTGGTTCAATTCGCCGTTCTTGCTTTCGGAACACTTCACAACGTAAATCCGACTTTTGTTCCCCCGTTTTCACTGCTTCAGCCATCTTTTATCGGGCCAACACCGCGGTCGACCAACCAATCAGCGTTCTTAAATTTTTATTCTCAGTTACCCAGGCAAATAGCCTCCTCCAGTTCGACCAATCAGCACATGACTTGCTATTGGTGAAAGCATGCCAAACTGTACAAAAACCCTCGTAACCGCACATACTGCTAGATGGGAGAGTAATGCCATTTTCATGGGGCAAACTTGCCGATGTCACGTGCCGGCCGTTAAGCTAAGACCCTTATTTTCCTATGCACCAGATGCAAGCCACTCTGGCTCGCTTGCTTCTACGGGGCTGTTCACCACAAGTCACTACCAGATGGTGATACTTCCCTAACACAGACTCTAGCAAGTTGACATGGACTTGTAAGTAAAAACAGAATTTGTAACACCCACTAGCTTTCATTTTCAGGGTCGGAGAAAAGGCATGTAACACATTTCTACACTTTGTTAGCATGTTCCCTTTCTCTAAAATAAAACCGACATTCACAATTATCCCTAACTTTTTTTCATTTTTTTCAATTTTAATGTTTTGGTAAATGCCTGTCCGCACGACAGGTAGTACTAAATGTAATAACAAAAGTACGTAGGTGTAGGCTTTAAGAAAGCTTGATTCAACTGAGAATACAAGGTTCGCGTATAGTGTCCTTTTATAGTCCCAGTAAACAGAAATAGCTCTCTCAAAGAGTAGAGTAACAAAACAAGGGGAGACCACTCTTGATTATTCATAACACTAAGGTCATCCACGAATATTTGGTGTACCTTACTGAAAGGGTAATATTCGATTTTTTTTTTTACTAAACTAGAGACCAAATTGATGTTAATAAATCATGATCAAAACAACATAGATCTTCATTAGCTGAAGCGCGTAAGACCATTCCAAGAATGCTAAAAAGGAAAAGGATACTCCCTTGGGACGACAATCCTGAGTTTAAAAATTAATACGAAAA